CTTTTTTTTTTTTGGGCCATATATATATATATATATATATATATATATATATATATATACATTTAAATATTCAAAATGTTAATATTATTCACAGAGCACAGTTCAGTTTTTTAATATGGGTAATCAAGTCAATTTTGCTTGGGGCCCCAAAATTCCTTGAGACGGCCGTGAAGGCCTCCTGCCTGGACAGACAGCTCCTGGTGCCCGCTGCTCAGCCCCTCTATCCTCTGATCCTATATTCGCCCCTGTAGACTCGGCCTGTGAAGGAATGTTCTAATAACGGTCCTACTGGTGAGCCAGTAACCAGCAGGTCCGCTGGGTTCACACATTTACCAGCCAAGCAGAGGTCCGCAGTAAAACCAGAACTTACCGGTTTGGCTCGGTGCGTCAGGTCGGGGTTAGCGGTCCGGTCGGTCCGGTCGGTCCCGGCTGCAGGGGGAGCGACCTTGTTCTGGGAGCTTTTGTTGCTGTCTGAGGCAAACAGGAAGCGTTGCTCTGCTAAACTGTTTTTTTTTCATCTTAAATCTTTATTGACAGTAACAGTACAAACCAAATAACCGCTGAACGCTCTCCACAAGCAATCACTGAAATACAAATAAAACCATCAATCAGTTTGAAGAAACGGGCTGTTAACGATCAGGCAGGAATCTAATAGCTGAATATTAAATAATTATAACAAGTTATTTCGTTTGTTTGTCCGTTTTTAGGAAGCCCGTTTCCGCCACCTAATGGTACATCAAATGTCATCATTATTAGATTTAAAATCATGATAAGGAGATTTAAAATAAAAAGATAAGCTACAAAGTCATAATTTCTACAATCAAAGTATATCTTAACAATGACTTTAAAGCTCATGGTTATAAGTTCGAAAGTCAAAATTAAATCTCATATTTATGACATATTTTGCTTTCAAGTGGCGAATATAGGCTTCAATAGCTCAATTCTATTCAGTTTATTTCTATAGCGCCAATTCACATTATGTCATCTCAAGGCAATTTTCCAGTTCACCAGATCATCCAGTCAGATTGATTTTCTATCTGAGGAAAACCAGTTGATTGCATCGACTCATTGACTCAAATATCATGGAGGTTCAGGTTATTTGTGTGTGTGTGTGTCTGTGTGTGTGTGTGTGGGGGGTCCCATACAAGCCCTTTCATTAAACACTACTGTCTGTAACTGTCCATTCCATCCACCACATCTTCAGTTATATATATATGTATATAACAGTGTCTCAGGGAGCAATTGACAGCAGCACACACAAGCACCAGATAAGAGGAAATTCCTGTTTCTGATCCTCCCTACACATTAAAAATAAAAAGATAAAGTCTCCCTGTCTGGCGCTGTTCCTTATTCTAAACACAGCTGCCTCATGTTATGTACATTACCTGATGACAGTACCAGAATGTGGCTGCTCAGTGGCGCAGTGCCTTGCAGCAAGAAGGTTCTGGGTTTGATTCTCGGTACTCCGGCTTCCTCCCACACTCCAAAAACATGACTGTTAGGTTAATTGGCTTCTTTACAGTCCCGTTAGGTATGAGTGTGTGTGTGAATGATTGTTTGTCTCTGTGTTGCTGTGGACTGGCAACCTGTCCAGGGCGTACCCCACCTCTCGCCCATTGACAGCTGGAGAAAGGCACCAGCACCACTTGTCACCCGGGTTGGGATAAGCGTGCTAGAAGATGGATGGATGGTACCAGGATGTGATTCTCACAATGGATTTATGAATTCCTCTGTTATATTATTTAGATATGAAATATAATGTTTCATGATTCACACCATCAACAGCTTTAATTTTAGTGCAATGAATTCTGAAATGTGTTTGTTTTACATTTCTACATATCTTGGGGCATAGAGCTTGGAATCCTGAGGTTGTGATTTCGAAACCCAATCCCACAGACTGCCACTCTGGGTCTCTGAGCAAAGACCCTTAACCCCTCACTGCTCCCCGGGTGCCTCACAATGGCAGCCCACTGCTCCCCAAGGGGATGGCTTAATGTGGAGGTAAATTTTTTCCAATGTGAGATCAATAAACTTCAATTATTATCATCTATTATCTCATAGGACAAAAAAATGCAAATATCTACCATATTTAGATTTAAACTTAGATTGACTATCAAAGTGAAGGGGAAATTTTTTTGTCTTATTCTTTTATACTGCCTATTTACAATAAGTTTCTTCTTAGGACCCTTAAAAAAAGCCATACTGATTTAAACCTCAATAAACGATATATAGAGTCAGTTCAATACGATAATATATGGACTGATAGTCCTCTGGCTTGGAGCTCGTCTGCCTGGCTGTGTGTTTCCTGGACAGCGGCGCCTTTTACAGCTGCTTTTTGTATCTCTGCTTCTGTCTCCTTGAACCCCAGTTGGTCTCGGCAGATGGCAGATTACACTGAGCCTG